TTAGAGTAAAATCTCATGTTGAGGATATTGTTGGAAGATGTTTTTCATATGCTGGTTGATTTTGTTATGGATCTTTTACATACTAACTTCATCATTGTTATAGAAGAAAGATGCCCCTAGCAAAGGTTTCATTGTTTTCTGATATCCTTCTACTGCAGCTAAAGTTGCCAAACTTCTGTATCAGTTGTACTATTATCTTAAAATGCAATTGCTAGCTTCACTGCCGTGCCTTAAGTCCATAGACATCTGATAATATATAGTTCAGGATGCAATTTAAAATTTTCTAGCTCTTGTTACTGTTGGGTAAGTTATTGAGAATGAAAATTTGCATCAAATATGAAGAATGGTGATGCCAAAACAAAAATCAGCGAAATATCCATTAGTTTTTTAGTCTCCAATGAGTGTTTCTCATAGGAAAGGACAAAAGAGTGGATTCTTCAGAGCCAGGTACCATTTTTTTTTTAATGAGTATGCAATGACGGAATTTTGTCTGTTTGGTTTAAGTTCTATGTCATTTTCTTGAATTTTCAGTTTATGATTAGTGAGTTATTTGTATCAAAGGTCAGAATAGTTGTATCCATAATGTTCAACAGATGTTATATTGTTCACATACAATAAGGTTAAGCTCTTTGTAATGCATCTTTCGTTACAAACAAGTGTAAAGTTTTCCAGCAGAAGAAAAACTAGTGCAAAAGGCTTTCACTGCTAAAATTACTTTTGTGTAAGCAAAGATTAATGCGCAGTTGCTACAGGCATGGACCATGTGAATCATTTTGGTTGTACTCGGGAAGGATTTCAGATTTCTGATGTCATTTCACCAGTATATTCTTATAGTTAATAACTTGGCCAGAAAACATTCACCATTCTAGTAAAGATGCCAGTGTTAAATTCACCTCTCCTCTTCATGTTTATGAGAATTTTGCAGTGCATAAAACTCAGAGCTCTAATACAAGACTCCACAGACAGAATAATGAGCATGAAGTAGTTCATGAATTTGATCTTATTCCTTTTGTCAAGAAGTATAATAACTGATGAAAATGCAGAGGCTCCATGATCTCAGCAGGAAAAAGTGGATCAATACAACAAATATAAGGCAGGGGCAAGGGCATAAGCAAAATGGGAGAGGCAATACTCAAGAAAGAACAGCAAGAACCAAAGAACCAAGTCACAAAGGCAGTTAAGCTAGGGGTATCTAAGATGCAAAAGTAATTCCTTACCAAGGGGTATCTAACATGCAAAAGTAATTCCTTACCAAGGGGTATCTAAGATGCAAAAGTAATTCCTTACCAAGTTATATTAGTTAACTTGATAAACAACTTCTTTTCTGATGTTCTCAATCATTATCCCTTAACTGTTGCAATCTTCTGGCGCTTTCTGCTTCTTTATAGTGATGCTGAAGAGAGCTCTGGGGCTTGGAAGGAAACAGTGCAACATAGTACCAGCAAGGGTGAACTGAACCAGTCTGCTGCGGTTCCTGAAACTCTTTGCTCCTAATACCATTATGGTACCACCATGCATTCTGACAAAGAGCTAAATTCAGCCTGGCTGATCTTTTATAAAACAATCAACTCTCTCTGAGAAGACAGCTCTCTAAATTAGGACTCGGCATGAAAAGAACCCCAAAATCCTCAAATAGGCTGTTATTGGGCAAATAACATGTTGCCCAAATCACATGCTTTACAAGTCGTACGCATAGATGGTACAAAATTTGCAGGATAACCATCAAGGGTGAGTTAGTTCATCCAAAAAGCCACAAAAAATATGATTGTAGCCATATGGATGATGTGCTGATACTTAGATACAGATTGTTCTTGGCAAAGGCAACACAGAAAAATGTGATAAACGTTTAAGCTCTCCAAAGTTTAGATTGTATCTTCTTAACCAAGTACCCTTCTAAACCTATACCTGCATCCACTATTCTTGTGTTGCCTGTTATTTCTATCTTGATAACCTTGTCCAAAATTTCCTCCATGCAGACTCTATCATCCTCTACGCAAATCATAGGAATTATTGTCATCCAAGTATCCATATGTGGTGCTTCTCCATGATTTAGCATTTTTTCCACTAATACACAAGCTTCCTCGATCTTACCAACATTGCAAAACCCTTCTACCAAAGCATGAGAAATTGAGAAATGTGGGGAGAATCCTTTGGACAGCATTTCCTCCAAATATTTCTTAGCTTCACCAAATATCCTCTGATCGCATAACCCACCAACCAAAGTCCTGTAAGACACCAAATTGGGCAAACACCCATTAGAGGGCATGTCCTCAAGAACCTTACAAGCATCCAGAGCACGCCCTTCTCTACAAAATCCCAATATAACTGTATTGTAATGGACAATATCAGGATTGCACCCCTTGACTTTCATTCTGCAAAGAAGCTTATAAGCCTCCCTAAGTTGCTTCTTCCTACACAAACTATTCAACAAAGTGGTGTAACTCAATGTATCTGGCACGAAACCTTTATTCAACATATCCTCCAACAAATCCACCGCTCCATTCACCTGACTCTTTCTACACAGCCCCTGCATTAATATCCTATACGATTCCACATCCGGCGAAACATCTCTCTTAAACATTTTATTGAACAGTGAGTATGCAATACTTATATCCCCATTCAAACAAAACGCACGCATCAAAATATTGTAAGATTGAATATTGGGTAAAACTCCATGACGGTGAGCACTCCGGAAGAGATCGAAAGCCGGCCGGAGATAGCTCCTGTGTGAGACAAGAATCTCCAGAATGTGATTGAGGTGTTTAGGCAAAGGCTTGCAGCCAAACTCGCGAATCTTGTAGAAGGTTTTAAGGGCTTTATCTGGCAAATCTGCCTCGGCGTAGATCTTGATCACATAAGAGAATAGAATAGGAGTAATCGGGTAGCGCTGGGTTTTCAGGAGAGAGAGGATATCATCGACAAGCGTGAAGTATCTGGCGCGCCCCAGTTTGAGAATGAGAATGAGATAGGAAGAATAAGAATGACGAAAGCCTTGCTGGCGGAAGGCATAGTCGAAAATTTCTTTAGCGAGAAGAGGATCGGACTGGGACGCTATCAGCTTTTGGACTCGAGTAGGAGAGCCAATTGCGGAATTGGAGGCAGAAGCAGAAGCAGAAGAGAGTTGTTGTTGTTGATTTTTCTGCGGCGATTCCGGTGAATAGGAGTAAAAGAAGATCAGTGAAGGTTTTGGCAGGAAGGTGAAGTGGGAAGAAGTGAGGGTTATCATTGCTTTGGAGGAATTAAGTAAACGCTGCTGCATATCTCCGGGAGCTCTCTTTGATCTTTTCAGAATGCTGGTGCTGACTGCTAAAGGTGTAACCGAGGATATTTCCGTAGATAAAATTTTTTGTCTTCGTTAATTTGTAAATTCGAGTCAATAGGGCCTGACTCTTGAACGACATTTTTTAGCCCCGGACCCTCGCCCTTCTCTAGACTCCTTGTAGTGTGTTTTCGAAAGAAAAAAAAAATCTTTTCTAATGATATATGAATATTATCAGCGAATTTTCTAAATTTTGTTTATATTTTGAAATTAATTTGCACATTTAAAAAAAAAAATAAAGTATAGTCTTTTATTATTTTTTCATTGCACTTCTACTGTTATTCTTTTAGTATATTAGCTAATATCATAATTATTTTTGTGTTTTTTAAACGAAATTATTTATGCTGTTGTTTTTAATTATTTAATAGTAACATGGTACATGTTAAGTTATTTTTAAATGTTTATCAAATAAAATTAACTTAATTTTAAAATATATTTTTATATAAAAACAAAATTAAATG